TTCCATGAGACATGACACAATTAACCATTTCCATATTGAAGTTCCACTGCTCGGGTTTAAAAGCTCAACCACACATGGTACACTTGGAAAACTCGAACAGGGCAATGCTCTAACCCAGACAACTCTACCTCAATGAGCTGTTTTTACAGTGATGGAAAATACTGCATGAACTCGGAAAATGTGGGGAAGGAGAGAAAAAAAAAAAGAGAGAGACGGAAGTGCAAAGTCGGCCGTCTGGACACAGGCGGGTTTTCCTTTTTCCTTTCTCAAGCGTGTGCCGTATTCATTAACTCATTCATAATTTGGGGTTGCATAAGAGTTCCGTAACAGTGGAGGAATTTACACGTGGAAGACGAGGCTCCTGCTGGATGATAACCCCTAAAAAACACAAAAGGAGCCACCTTGTTCAACCAGAAGTCCAGGACAGGATCCCTTCACTCAGACTAATCCATGTCTCAATCCGAAACAGATCCTCTGATCAACCCCTCCTTCTTCTAGTACGCACATTTTCCTATGAATTGCCTTGAGTCTGACATGTCTGATTGAAGCACTGAGCAGTCGATGAGGCCCTGCAGACAGCTTTAAACATGAAAAATAGTCGAGATGTTTCACTTCAGACTAACAGAAAGTATATTGTTTCTCAGTTTGTTTGTTATTTCAGATTTGTGTCAAATTGCTGAAAGTTGTGTGTCACAGTTGGGGGCGTAGAGAGAAACCCGATCTGCGTCTTTCATGGTGAATTCTTGGTGATATTTTAGTCTTTTTGTATTTATTTCAACGGGCAGTGTCGTTTATATCTGACAGAAAACAGCAGCTTTCAACAACATTTTTAGGACATTTCACAAAAGAACTTCACCACTGGAATAGTGCTCTGTCATGGCGGCAACAACAACTATACAGAAAACACCACAGACTATGTTTAAACATTTCAAAATGAAGCCATATTTTCTTATTTTAGATCAAGCTGAAGTTGGCTAATTCTGTTAGATAATCACGTTACCTATATAGGAATATCACATTGTACAAAAGGCCTTTACGTTTCAATGTACAGTATTTGTTCTTATTGTAGGTGTTTCTGTTTAATCTTTACAATCTGAGTGGACTAAACTCTCTTTGGGGCTCTGTGAGTGTGCACACTGCACTGATGTTCCTGTACATCTGGATTCAGAAAACACATTTAAAGCATAACAAAGCTCCAATGTGCTGTGAGTCTGTAACCAACAAATCGGGATCATCAATTAGACAATACATGGAATAACAAAGCCAAGAAAAGCCTCACCAAGCCACAACTTAATATGTATATACAGTATGCTGCTACTCCTATGTAACAGTAGACATTTTACAAAATGAATATTTACTTTTTTGGCATTGAGGATGGATAACAATAGGAAATAACGAAGCTATAGAAAGCAGCATGTTAGCTTAGCTTAGCTTAGCTCATCATGTGGTTGGAAAAATCTGCTTTCAAAGACCATAGAAAGTGAAATCGACATAAACAAAAGTTTAACTAGTGAATACATAAGTTTGGATGTGCTGGTCGTCCTTAAGACAGAGCCTTCCCAACATGCTTCATGTCATTATTTTAAGCTAGCCCGCTAAGCTAACCACCTCTAGCTTCTAGGCACTAGCTCCATATTGAGTTGAAGGATAAGAGACTGGTTTGAATCTCTTCATCCAAGCAAAATGTGTTTGTATCATTCAACGTGTTCCACACATGTTTATAAGAGGACATTGTTGTCATGGTTTTTAATATTCAGTCTTCTGTTTGTCTTTTCAGGCCCAACTATCCCACCTGTCCCGCCTTCAATGCAAGTAGCACCTCCTCCCCAGTTTATTTACCTTTTACACCAACCTCTCCCATGTTGACTTTGTGCTTATTTGTACTTAAACTTAGCAGCATTGGGATTACCGTCCTGTTAAAAATCCTGATCTAGGTTTGACCCTGTTCTTAAGGATTCTTTATTTTTGCTAACTTGTGATAATGAGTTATTACTCTCCTTCGTACCTTTACCTCATGAGTCTTGCTTCAAGATCAATTTTTGTCTTTGTCAGTGACAAACACACTGTGGACATTTGGAAACTCTATTCACCATTTGGAATACATTCAAATGGTGTGATGTGCTAAATCCAAACATACATCTGTGTATTTTCTCTTTTTTTCACTCTTTATTTTGGACTCTATAAAGTAAGCACAGCACTGCACTAAAAGCAGCAGAGCAGGCCTGAATTCATGGCAAATAAAAACAGTAATGTATCGTTTAACTTGGCTCTTCTGGATGGTTTATTCTACAGTTTCCTCTCCTGGGCAATGAGTGAACTAGTTTTATGTTAAAAATAGCTCGCTTTGCAACATTTTCAATTACCTGCCTTTGAGCACTTAAGCAAATATATGTAGGCTCAATTTCAGCCTTCTGTGTGTCCCAAACACCTGAACACTCCTCGATGAATACTTGTGACAGGAAAGCAGCTTCTCCCCTTTAAGCCCTGTGACAGGTTTAGTTGTCCTGCTTGATTATTTTAGGAGCTGCGACTCTAATATCGTCCGTTTAGAAATCAAAAGTGAACCTTGACAGACGAGAGCTATTAATATATATGACGGCACATAAACTGAGACATGACTCAGACAAGTGCATAAGATTAACTCCTGGATTGTTTGGCACAGTACAGTGAGGTCTGTGTTGGATTTAAAGTAGTATGAGACAGCTCATCAGATATGCTGTGGGCTAATATCATCATCAGTGTTACACAAGAGAGACTTTATTTTAGTACTTTTTGTACAGGTTCAAGACTCCAAAGTTGAACGTTTCTTGTGTTCTAGTGTTGCTGAAGATTCATGTGGAAATGAAAAAGTGAGTCTGTATTTTTGGCATTCCAAAACATCCATACTTTTTTCCCCTTAGATGCTTCCTTATGTAACTTATAGTTCAATGGAGAATATGTCTGGGGGTCAGTCTGTGTCGCAGTCGTGTTCATCCCTTTTTTTCCATTCAAGTATCAGAATATGCTGCAGATTTCCATTAGGAAATGGAAATATTAGATAGTAGCCGCTTCACGCAGTGGAAACAATGGGATTCTCTATATTCCATGTTCAAATCTGAACTTTGCCTTTTTTTTCTTCTTGACAAGTAAACATTTAAAAAGCCATATTGTCTCAAATTATTCTCAAATTGGGAGAAAAGTTGAACTCTTCCACAGTCTAGCAGACAGTGTTAAGTACATTTCATATAGTGGATCCTGTAATTCAGCTTTAAACTATTTAGCCCCCCCCGTCTCTCTCTCTCTCTCCCTCAGCGTCCTACAGTAATTTTTTCATCCCCACAATGAAGTTCTTGTGTGCTACTGTCTGAGAGAAGCCGCAGAAATGCCTTGGCGCAGGACTCGGAGACGTCATGGATTCCTGAGTGTGGGGCTTTGCAGGAAAGCCCTGAGTCTCCGACATGGACCGGCTCCAGGTTTCCATGGCAAAGGCGCACAAACAGGAGGAAACACTGAGGGAATCCCGTTATTTTACAGCATTGGAGCATTATAAACACCCAGAGCGGGGGAAGGAAGCCGCTCTTGATACTCAAGTAATCCTTATAGAGCTCTAGGAAGAGGGACTTCATACCAGATCCGCTGCTGGAGCTGATGCGGCTGCATGTTTTCAAGTTACAGACACGGAGTTTGCGCGCAGCTGCTGTATCGCAGCTTGAAGTTTTTTTAAACGTGTACTGACTGAACGGGTTCTTTTTTTTAATCCAGTTTCGTCTTCTTTTAACAGTTTAAACTGAGGAGAGCTTCTTCTTCCACGGTCATTAGCGGAACTTATTTTTTTTATTTTTCTGTCTTTTTTCGACTTTTCTTTCCCTCTCCAGATGTTCAGAGAGGCTTGGAGGCTGGCACAGTACCACACCATGAGGTCCATGGATCAAGGTACTGCTGAAGTGTTGTGATTATCTGGTAATCAAAACATTTGATTTCTTTTAATGATAAGAGTGGTTTTAGCCGTAAAGTCTGCTTTGATTTGAGCTGTATTATCATGTGTCATTAACAATGTTTGGATGTTGATGTGTGGAGGCAGACACACTGACGCGCTTTGGCTGATCAGCATCACAGACAAACACCTACTGACGATGAAACAAACACAAAAAGTATTCCTGGCAGTTACGAGTTATTTTAGGTTGTGACATGATGTAGATCTAAAATAGATGGCATCAGCGTGTTTACATATTTTTAAATCGTCTGTGTTCTGTATAGTGGGTGTGACTAGATATCCACTCATGTTTCCCTAATTAGTCTCATTAAAACATGACACACTGTACATTGTTCCCAAACCCTCAAAAAGCTTCATCATGATTGACAGCTTGAATAATCCCTCCTATGTTTTATATTTTTCATTTTGTCATATGGTGCGTTTCTTTTTCCATAACTTTTAACGTCAAAATTATTATTTTTTAAAAGAATATAATAGTCGCTAATTCAAACAGGCATGGCACACAACCAGACAAATCATATAACTAAATGTTTTTAAATCGGGGTACACGGTGTGTATGATTTGCTGAGTGAGCATTCAGTGTTGGACCACAGTGGGTGGGAGGAACGCCCCACTGGATCTGAGCGGCGTCTTGCGTGAATCTGGGGATTCCCTCAGGAGTCCCGACCTGTGCGTATTTTTACGCACTGTTAACGAGCCCCAATGTACATGAAACCTAATCCAAAGTGTTTCATTTTTGATTCATTTCTGACCACTCTGACATGTGTTACTATACACACGAGCCTGATTGATCGGCCCCTGTCGTGTTTTTTTTGTTTTTACGCAGACGTCTTGTCAGTTGTTGAACAGGTTTATGAAGGTCAGCACCCTGCTGTGTCACTGCGACGTGTCAGACACCCGGGGGCAGCATCAGGCTGCACACACACTGTCAAATGACTCGTAATCTGTCTGAGCGGGGCAGTAGTTCATCAACACCAAGCTGCACTTTCTTTTCTTTTTTAAATGTTTGTTTTAATCTTCGACACATCAGCGAGCAGCGGAGGCGTGATCAGACTCAGAGATAAACCTCCGAAAAAAGTCTGCATTCAGAGTGAAATTAGACCCGCCTTCCTCTGAAAATAAACTACGAGAGCGCTCAAACAGGAAACTCGGTGCGCTTCACCTCCTGCAAGCTCACCAATGCATCATCTGACACTCGAGCAGCAGGTTTACCCAAAATCCACATCAGCGCCGCCGCAGCAGCACCTGACCCGCCGCGTTCCCCCCCGTCGCTTCACCTGAGCTCTGAGGAGAAAACACACACTTAAGACAGATGACCTCTTTTTACGACGAGAAAGACCTGAAGGAAGAGCTCAGTCGAGTCAACTGTCCCGATGACGATTTGGAGTTTGAGTACTTGTTTGAGTATGAGCCACCTTGCAGCGACTTTTCAGGAGGGAATCAAGGTTTGTCCGAGGCGTTCTGGCACGTCACCCTCTCTGGGTTTATTTGTAGGCTCAAGATTATTATCTGACCTGCAGTGTTTTATTCATGCGAATGGATAGGTGAAACAGGAAGTAAATTGACAGGCTGCTTGATGAATTATTCGCCATGAGAGGGAAAAATGTCAACATGAAGAAGCTTTTTTTATGAACAAAGATGTGTTGTTTAAAATGTGTGTTTTTAATGACCTGTGAAGTTGTTGGTGTATATTAATTCATGACAGCAGTAACTATTAAATCTCTGGCAACTTGCGCTGATTTTGTAATCTTCTTCCTGCAGATGATCCAAACCTTGCATCTCACAAAGTCCTCAGTCCTGAGTCTGAGCAGGCTTTCCCTCTGGAGGAGGCCTCCCCGTACGGCATCAAGTCCTGCAGCCCCTCCTACGGCGACCACAGCACCGAGGTTCTATCAGGGTATGAAAACCAGGCCAGGAGCTACCTGGACAGTACCCGCCCTGCAGGCCTGGCCCTGAGCCCGCGGATCGAGATCACCCCCTCCCGCGAGCACTACAGTCATGGTCGGGACTCCCTGCAGAACCAGCACCTGAACATCAGCCCCAGACCCACCCTCACCGTGCCCGGCCATGATAGCCTCTCCTACCGTGAGCCGCAGTGCCTGAGCCCCGCCAGCAGCAACTCCTCCACCAGCTGGCACTCTGAGAACTTCTCCCCCTGGGCCTCTCCTTGTGTGTCCCCCAGCAGCGGCCAGAACCCCGGCGACCTCTGCCCCCGACTCCAGAACATCCACACTGGCTCGCCCCGCACCTCCCCAGGAACGTCCCCTCGCACCAGCCTAGCCGAGGACGGCTGCCTGCAGGGTCCCCGTTCTCCCTCCCCCAGACCGGGCTCTCGCTCCACCTCTCCGCAGGGGAAACGCACCTACGACATGTACAGGAACCCCGGCCTGGCCCCTGCTGGGCACCGCTCCCGCAGCCCCTCCCCTCACAGCGGCCATGACAACCACAACATCGGCGCCCACTATTCACACAGCAGCCTGAGCGATGCCATGAACGGTTTCGCCCAGCCCAGCCTGGTGCCCACTAAGATAGTCAAGACGTCCAACCAAGTTTACACTCTGTACCCGGAGAACCACGTCGAGGGGAACTACCTGGTGTCATGTGACCAGGACATCAAAAACAAACCAGCAGCAGAGCCCTTCTTTGTCATCCCCCAAATCTGGTCCAAGCCGATTTCCAGCATCTGCAGGTAAACAAGCTGGAAGACCAAGACCAGTAACGACCCCACACACACAGTGATGAGCATAACATAATGATGTCATTTCTTCTTCTGTGTCCCCTCATGTTCTGCAGCATCCCCGTGGCGTCTCTCCCCCCGCTCGAGTGGCCGATGCCGCGTCGCACAGACCAGTATGAACTCCACATCGAGGTCCAGCCAAAGCCGCATCACAGAGCTCACTATGAGACGGAGGGGAGCAGGGGGGCGGTCAAAGCCCCCACAGGTGGACATCCTGTCGTACAGGTATGACCAAACAAGGATTCAAAGAACAAATTAACCTAATTTTTTAATCGGAACCTAAAAAATGTAAAATCAACCACAACTGGAGGTGCTGAATTTGAGGATTCAAGGTCCTTCTTGTGTCTTTCTCCAGTTGCCCTGCTCTTATGTGATGTGCATTTAACCACCATTTAACACTCATTGCCTGCAGGCATGATTTAAACATTGCTATGAAGGCTCCTGTTTTATAGAATACAAACAATTTCCTATTTATTTGACTGTATCAGGGTACCTCTGATCCTGGTATCTGTGGCCTTAAACAGGATTAAAGTCAAACATACTGGACCTCTTGTGCTCGCTCTTGTGAGGAGTTTTTTTAGCTGGTTACGAGGCAGACTGAAATTGATATTGATGCCTCTATTTGACCCCCAAAGCAGAAGGGACCGTCAGTGGAAAGACTGACTATCTGTATGAAGTTAGTTCTAACGTCTGAAACCACAGCCGGCTGGGGTGGGGGGTGTATGTGTCAGATGAAGTGACAGACTGCATGCTGCAGTTTTTTAACACTATGCAAGGCAGAGTTTCTTGATAAGCGATACATTACATAGGTACACTAAAAAATCCGCAGAGATAAGTTACTGCTTTGTCTACAGGGGGCGCCAAAATCAACACAAACCAAAAAGTTCCTCACTGGAGCTTTAAAATCAGAAGACTGATATGAATAAAGCTGCTTTTCAAAGTGCTGAATGAGCATTTTATGACGGCGCTTTGGGTCAGGTTTGTCTATTTTAATCAGCCGTTTTGGGTTTTGGGAGCCTGAGGGGCCCGTCCTGATGGGAGGCCCTTGTGTGTAATGTTTCCTGCTCATTACGCACCAAATGCAACCTGGTGTTAATCCCCCGGGGTCTGCTGTATTAAAATGTCCCTGTGTGTGTTTAAACTCTCATAGCAGCTTTATTATTATTTTTCACTCATCATAACAGTGAAAGCAGGTCTTAGCCCCACACACACTGTAACCGCCCCATAGACTCACAACTGAACTCGGATCGTTGAGCACCACAGACTGTCTAATTTGCCTATTTTCAGCGTTTGCGCTTTAAATAGTCTGCTGTTGTGCGCCCTCACCCTCACCCCGCCTCTGGTGTTTAACCACACAAACAGATCTGTGTTCATGTTGTCTTTAACTTCCTCTTACTGATCTGGCGTGTTGAAACACTCTGCCTTTCTAGACATGTGGTCAAGATAATTATGGACGAGGAAAAAGCACGTTTTTTTTTCTTCTTCCTGTTACAGTCACAACTCGGGTTGTCACAAAACCAGATCTTTAAACTTTCATAATCAAAATACAACAATATCTACAGCCTGTTTCGATTACCATGGCAACAAAAACAGAAGTAATGTCTTTACACTTTCTGTTCTCTTAATTACCAACATTTGGCAGCACACTGTCCAAATTTCAACATAAGTAATGTATTGTGCAATTCAGACAGTGTCTTTTGTCTTTTGCTCGCTGTTATAAAAAGAGAGATTAAAAAAAAAGTCTTGCCTCATATTGAGAGACCAAAGTGACATAAGAAATGTAATTTGCTGACCTGACACTAACTCTTTCTCTTGCAGAAACTTTGGCTTTAAGATATAATTTACGATCTTGAGATTAAAACTCTTTTAAGTCCCTTCTTAAGAAACACTTTTTACGAGCCTTTCCTGATTTTTGTTGATTTTAGATTGTTACTATTTTCACTTTTTAGAATTCCTTTAAAAGTATTTTACAGTTCTTTTTAAAAGGGGATTTTATATCTTAAAGTGATTTGTATTCCTTAATCTTGCCTTGCTTATTATTGACCTGCCTGTTTTTATGTTTGCTGTCCTTGTAAAGCACTTTGTAACTTGTTTTTGAAAAGTGCTCTATAAATAAAGATTATTATTATTATTATATACGATCAATCATAAAGAATAAAAAAAAGGAATATTTTTGGCTATTTTATGCCAGGCATTTTGTGCCTTTGTTGTCGAGACAGGACAGTGTATAGTGTTGGAAATCAGGAATCGAGAGAGGAGGGAGTGACACTGGGGAAATGAGCCACAGGTTGCATTTGAACCTGAGCCTCTGTACACACAAACCACTAGGCTACTGGCGCCCCTCAATCATTCATGAAAAATTGGGATAATATCATTTAGAAACACATTTATTAATGAATTGTTAAGAATTTTAACAAACCTCAGTCTCACCTCTGAATCTGAACACAGCATGCTGAAGCGAGCTGTGACACACATTCAGCCGGCTCTACTGCCAAGAATAGTTTCAACTTCCCCTTCTCTGTGTTACTGTGGCAACATTTCAAAGCTGTTTTTTGTTGGTGATAGAAGCGGCTTGTTGGAAATAAAGCTTCTCTCGCATCTTTTCCAAAAGCCTCACCCTGAGGTCAGTTCTGCCTGGTTTGCCCGTCCAATCAGATGGTCAGGCCTGGCTAGACACGGCTGCACTCCTTCACCTCGTCTCTCTCCCTTCCTCTTCTCCTCCTTTTTCACTCTGTTTTTCCTCTTTCCCATCTCTCTCTTTCCTTCATTCTCTCTCTCTCTCTCTCTTTCCTTCTCTCTCTCTCTCTCTCCTGAGCCTCGAACCCTCCACTTTTCCAACGCCGCTCTCTTGTCATGACTCACTGCTCCTGCAACTGCCATGACAACCAGTTGAGCGCTCACATGGCCTGCTGAGTGTTTGCAGTCGGCTCCCTCTGTTTCACTCTGTCAGTTACCTCAACATCGGCCAGCATTCATTCATGCGGCCGTAGTTCTGCGCACATTCACCATCTGAGATCATCTTTTCTAAAATATTATTGATGAACATGATGCGTGTGGTTTTCCTAAAAAAGATTACAAGAAATACAGCACTGCATTGAAACGTTCTCCTGTGGCATTTTAGAAATAAAAAAGGAGACACTGAAAAGCTCCCTGTTGTGGTTGGGGTTTTTTTTTTTTTTCAATCTGCTACAACTCCATGGTGCTATTCTAGGATAAAGGTTAGACACGTCTGTGTTTGCACAAAAGGCGGCATTCAGATGCAAGCTGGCGCCTTGTGGTTTTTTGCAGGTTTCCTCAGGAGGCACTGTCAGGTTGAGAGTAACATCTCTGTCTTTCTGCCTCTTTGTCTGTCTCTGCGGCTTCGCCTTCTCATTTCTGGGACACAACACTCAATTAGGTCTAATGTAAGAGAGCGCTGCATACTGGCAAGAAACTGGCTGTATAAAGGTATCAGGGTACAGGGGCTATAACTCAAGGCAGTGTTGACTTAGCAGTCTTTTGACTCTAGTACAAGGAACTAAATGTATGCAACAAATCTGAATTTTAAATGCAATCAGAGGAGGGTTACATCCAACTAGGGACGGGTCTGGGTCCAATTCAGATATTGATTATAATGAGAGAAAAAAATCAGATACCGATATATCGGCCAATATCTTTCTTAGATCTATCTTCTATCTGTTAGAGATAGATATATAGATATACACATTTCTTGTGTTGATCCATCATATGTAGATCAAACAGTTGTTGAAAAGATAAATAAAGAAGACAAGATGGTCACTCAAGGGGAAAGTTACTGCACATGTATGTGCATTACTGCTTAACCCTCTGGAGAGAAGTTTAAGACAATGAAACTCAGATGAAATGCTTTTTGATTTGTGAATAAATCTAGTAGTGCATATCTGCAACAAAAGTAGTCCATACTGATACTCACTGGATTTGCTGATATTGGACGATATCATCGGTCGGGCTCTACATCCAACATCACACTAATTCTGTGCAAACTGAGTTAAGGAATTCATATTGTACTTGGGGGAAAATCCTTTTTGTCCTTGTCAACTTTTTATTTTTTATTTTTAGGTTTTATTTTTTGGGGCATTTTGTGCCTTTATTAGAGAGATAGGACAGTGGATAGAGTCTGAAATCAGGGAGAGAGAGAGAGGGGAATGACATGCGGGAAAGGAGCCACAGGTCGAATTTGAACCTGGGCCGCCCGCTTGGAGGACCACAGCCTCTGCACGTGGGGCGCGCGATCTAACCACTGCGCCACCAGCGCCCCGTCCATGTCAACTTTTACCTTAAAAAGTTGATGCAGTGTTTCAGAGAACACTTTCAGTATGACACACATCATGCTCATTTAAAGACACACTCCTGTATGTGAAAGTCACCCCTCCTGAATCCTTCATACTGTTTTGCAGAAGCCGGTACTCTCCGGGAGGGGATCTTTCTTTGTTGGTTTCAAGGCTTCATAGATAAGAGTCATGTTTTCTACACGTGGCTCTGACAGTGACTTCTTGTTGGGGGGTGGGGGGACAACATCTGGAAATGCAGAGTTAGGACAAACCAGGCTGTTTTGGAGTGACTCAGTGACTCATTTCCTTTTCATCGCTTTAAAGTAACTCTGTTTTTTTTCTTTTCTTTGTGATGCAGTTACATGGCTACAGAGGCAAGGAGCCACTCGGCCTGCAGATCTTCATCGGCACAGCTGACGAGCGCATCCTCAAGCCGCACGCCTTTTACCAAGTCCACCGCATCACCGGCAAGACGGTCACGACAACCAGCTACGAGAAGGTCATCCACGGCACCAAAGTCCTCGAGATCCCCCTGGAGCCGAAGAACAACATGAAAGCAATGTGAGAATACGACAGACGACGTGTGGTTAAATCTTTGAGTCATTTTTGAAAATCTGCCCACTTCATGTTTTCATCACCATATTTACTGCTCCATGCAGAATCGACTGCGCCGGGATCCTGAAGCTGAGGAACGCCGACATCGAGCTGAGGAAGGGCGAGACGGACGTCGGGCGGAAGAACACGCGCGTCCGCCTCGTGTTCCGCGTGCACATACCTCAGCCCGGCGGACAGCACGTCTCTCTACAAGTGGCCTCGCATCCCATCGAGTGCTGTAAGCAGCTACACATAAATCAGTTCCATAGTAAGATAAGCTTCTTGTGCTGTTTTACCTCCTTCCAAAAAAATGGAAAAGCAGTGCTGGGTGTGTTTTTTTACACCCCACATGTGCTGCTTCCTGTTGAGGTCAAACTTTACACAGAATAAACATCATGAAAAAAAAGAAAAAAAAAAGGGAACCCACATTCAAATGAGCGTGGTGGAGCCAAGCTGATAGTCCAGAGTCCTGTGCACAAAGACACCTTTATGCAGCCCCGGCGGCGTTCATCCAGTAGGTGGGCGCTGCGTGCATGTGCGTGTGCGTGTGCGTGTGCGTGTGTGTGTGTGTGTGTGTGTGTACCTGTTTGTATGTGCACAGTAGTAAAGTCTGTGTTTGGGTACATCAGTACATGTGTACACTGTGTTATTAAAGCACCTGGTGTAATCAAAAGACAAACAACGGGGCCCTTATTCAGCTTTGACCAACACCCTGGTCGAGACGTCATCTCCGTTATGACACAGTTTACTCCTGTCATTATAAAAGTCATGACGCAGATTAAAATATTAATTTATAAGTGTTGTTCCCCCGTCTGTTTTCTCATCACAGAATGGACTCATTCAGTTCCTGTGTGTCGCAAGATGGAACTTCAGGGAACAAACGCTGTCAGCGAGCGTAGTTTACGATGACACCATGCGTTACAGTCTATCAGGGCGATAAGAGCGATGTGTCAGTGACGGTGTGTTTGAGGAGGTCTGGGCCCCCTGATGGGTGTCGCCTGCCTGAGGCTTCTGTAATTGTGCGAAAAAAAAACTGTTCAAAGGTCGCGGGGGTGTTTGTCAACGCCTCAGCTCGCATCAGTGAGCGTGGAGTTTCAGCTGAACTAACGGGTGAAAACTGAGAGACGAGGAAGTAACATGTAGCACAGAGCATGAATGTGTCAGGTGACATTTGCCTCTTAATAAGCTTCTTTTTTAATAATTCTGAGTATGACATAAAATTCTGAATCTGTTTGTTCCTGCATTAAATATTCAATATTTGCACTCAGTGGAGCTGAATGACCATATTATTAGACCTTTCACAGAAATATGAATATATATATAAATATAGGTATTCAAGTTTCTCTGATAAATGCTGATATGAAAGCGTTTAAGGCAGAAAACAATGCTTTGATTGATTTGTTTTTTTTTCTGGTTTGGCTCAAGATCTCTGCCTGTCGCTGGTGCCAGTGGCCTAGTGGTCTGTGCTCGTGCCCCATGTACAGAGGCTTAAGTCCTCTGGAGCGGGTAACCCGGTTTCAGGTCTGTCTCTAAAGACCAAAAAATAAAATCTATTGATTCAGGAATGTCAACTCTTAGATTGTCCATCAGATTATGCTCAGACTTTAGTTTCTTGGTAAAATGATTAGTTGACTTTGTTTACAGTCACTCTGTTGAACTGAGCGAATATTTCTTTTGTTTGTTTTCTGGTCCTGTCCGCCTTTAATAAACAGGAAGCAGAAGAATCACAGGTAATATGAGGGCAGAGGCGATGCTCGTCAACAGGCAGGGCAGGCAACTGATTGGGGCCCCAGCAGTGGCTTACAATGTGCAAAGTTTGCAATGGCAGTAGGAAACCCCCCTAGGTGGCTCCATCTTGCAGCACTCACTCAGATAATACTAAATGACTGAATGATGCTCGTCTAACCACAAATATGGTGGATAGACACTTTTATAACATATCTTCCACTAAAAAAAAAACGTGTTAATGTCAGATTATTTATAACATAAAGGGGACAAACGCTGTTTGGAGCGGCCCCCTGTACATTTTTGCCTCGAGCCCTGACAGACTCCAGAATCTCCACTGTATGGGGGCGAGCTGATAATCACCTATCAAGGGGGGCAGGATGAAAGTGGAACCTGCAGCCTATGAATGCATGGAGGACTGTAGCCTCTGTAAATGCTGTGTTTGCTCTTCCAGCGGGGCTAAACAGTCGCCCTCTGAGCGATCATCTTATATGTTATTCTTATATTGCATCAAAGGAAAAGAATTTGGATGTCATGTGGATCATTTTATCTACATTTGTGAAAACATACGCCTGGCGGTTTTGTCATCTTTGTACACTAGGATGAACCCATCAGACTTGTTCCTCTTATTTTTTCCCCTTTTCTGCACTGCACTGCATGAACCCAGATGCAAATTTGCCTGTTACCTTCCTCCGTTTGTGATTTGACAATTTATAATAATGCTTACTCAAACTGAGAGCGGGGACTGTGATCATTGAATGACTCAGCGTCGCCTCTTTATTGCGAAACACAGTCACTTCTTGGTAACAGGTAGTCGTGCTTTAGTGAGAAGTTGCAGGTTGCATATTTTTCTCGCTGTAGTTTATGAAAAATAAAAAAAGTCCAGCCGGGAGATGACGTCTTCTAATGTTTGGTTTAGTGTAACTTCAAATTCATGAATGTTGACTATGAGTTGAAACAGACATTTGATATCACATTAGAGGAGTCTGAAACTCGATCATCATTTCTTTCCTGCTGCTGGTTATTGTTTTCTTTTGTGCAACATGCTCATGCAAGTCTAAAAAAACGGGACAGAAAAATAGACAGTGAATGTAAAACACAGCCCCTTTGTGTGTCCCTGCAGCCCAGCGTTCAGCACACGAGCTTCCCATGGTGGAGAAGCAGGACATGGACAGCTGCTCCGTCCTGGGAGGCCAGCAGATGATCCTGACCGGGCAGAACTTCAGCTCCGATTCCAAGGTCATTTTCCTGGAGAAAACCCAGGGTGAGTGTGCGATGTCAAATCATGTCATCCCATAGTATCACTCGCAATCTGTGAGCAGGAGTACAGTGCCTCAGAAACCAAACCCACGACTGAATCTTTGAAATCTGTGTGCGTCTGTTTCCTTCTGCTTTTACACAACACAGTGTCACAGAGAGGCCAAAGCACATATGATACAGAATAACTCAGAAGCAACAGCCATACCTGAGATGCGTGTTGGTAACGTTCATGTCAACACCGTCATCACAGTCGAGTTATTTGCATGATCCACATGATAACATCGCGGCTTCACTTCCTTTTGCCCTTTTCGTCCTCGCTGACTTCCATGATGTCGTAACACCCACTCGGATGAGTCTTTTTGTTTAAAACATTTTTTTTAACTGAATCAGAATCAGTTTTTATTGCCAAGTTAATTTACACATGCAATGAATTTGACTTGGTGTTTTGTAAGCAAAGGAAACAAAATCAAAAATGGAAAGGAGCTTTAAAAACAGCACTGCTGCTGCTGACAGGGAACTTTAATGATGCGATGTAAGAAAGCTTTATTGTCAGCTTTTTGTTCAATATTAAAAAGGAAATAATATTCAGAAAAGGTAAAGGGGTAATAATGGATTTGAAGCATCTAACAATGTAAATTCTGGCTGGCGTTTTTTTTGTTTTGGATTTTGAAAATTTCCAAAAAATCTGAGAATCGAAAAAGACAAAGTACTTTGAGTTTTGTGTTGTATCTTTCATCACAAGAAGTTCACTGATTTACACAAGTCATATATCTAAAACTTCACTTCTGTTTGTTTATCAGTGTGTCTGTGCCGCTCTGGGATGTGTCGCCTCTTGTAACACAGTTTTAATGAGATTTGTTTGGGATGAGTGACAGGGAGACTATTAAAGGAAGGTGTGTGTTTATCACCTGCCGTTAATCATGGACACTTCTGTTTACCTCTGGCTGCTCCGAGGCTCTGCCGTGTGGACGCTGATGTTAAAATGCTTGTCTGATATTGTGACTCACTGACTCCACTTCTGTCTGAGAGAGAGAGAGAGAGAGAGAGAGAGAGAGAGAGAGAGGAGTTGTTGGCTTTTAAAGTTCAGGCACTGAAGACTCAAGACTTGGACCTTTTTTTTTCTGCTCTGGGGTTCCCTGCCGCTGTGTTACGACACACACCACAGTAATGGATAGTAAGACGGAGATGGAAAAAAGAAATCTAACGAGGCAGGATTGCCATGGTTTTTTGAGTTTCTGTGTGACACAGAGTTCTGGAGCAGTGCAGCTGTGAAATCCTTCTGATCCAGGGACAGCTCAGCGTCTGGCTGCAGCTCCTTTTGGACAGGGAGGGCTGTAACAGAGGAAAGGAAAAGCTTTCCCCCCCCCCCGGCCAAGTCAAGCCTGCTCTGGCTTTTTCTCGCCGTTTATTCCTCCCTCTGTTTTCCACGTTGTTACACAATAATCCCCTGAGGGAGAACAAGAGTCGGGGTATCCCTGCAAACAAACGCTCGGAGCCAAGAAAGCAGTAGTCATCACGTTTTGTAAGACGTTGGAGGGAGTTGATCATATAAAACAAAAGTTAAAGAAAAAAAAAGAAGAACGTCTGGCAACATGAGTGGAAGCCCCCTTTCCTCCTGCTGACTCATTTCAGCCATGTGTTTGTAATTTAACAACTTGACAGAGGGTTTCCCACCTTCCAAGCTCTGCAGCACAACACACACTCATGTTGGATCATGTGTCGGGGCACATGGAGTTAACATTTACTACTTTTTCACCTGGATGACAGCTTGAATGTGATCTGATGAAGTGTGATGTAACAGAAACCATAAGCGTTGTAGACTAGGAGCAGCTGAAAACACTCGCAGTTCTCATCACGTCTCATCTGCTAATGCTGAATTTCTGAGGAGGCAAAGTGTGTCATTCTGATTTATGGATGAGTGTACACTGCAAAAAACTCAAATCCAGGGGCCCCAGCAGTGTAGTGGTTAGTGCATGCGCCCCAGTATGGAGTTTGTAGTCCTCCAAAAGGGCGGCCCGGGTTTGAATCTGACCTGTGGCTCCTTTCCTGCGTCATTCCTCACTCTCTCTCTGATTTCTGACTCTATCCACTGTCCTACCTCTAAAATAAAGGCACAAAAAACCCAAAAATGAATCTTTAAAAAAAACAAAAAAACAACTGAAACCCTGTCAAATGAATTTTTTAATTTCTATTAAGCGAAATTCTTGTTAAGTTTCTTGAAATTAGGTTTTTATCTTATTTCAAGAAGCTTAACAAGTTCATTCGCTTGCTGCATTGTCAGCTATTTTTACTAAAACAAGCAATTCAGGCCTTTTGTTTTTTTTAAATAATTTTTATTTTTTTTTATTTTATCTGGGCTTGTTAGCTGAATGAGGCTTATATTAAGTGAAATGAGAAATTAGACCAATACACTTCTTAAGATTTGCATTTTAACAGTGTAGTTTGGACAAACCTCCAGGTGATCTCAACCTTCAGGTGTGCTTGGTTGTGTAACATGACGCTGTTTTAGTTAGAAGTAATAATATCAACAAACAGGATGGGTGTTCCCAGGAATTCGTCAAGGTAGCTGCAAATCTCCCTGAAACGACGTCATTCCAATATATAAACAAAAGAGTGCTTTGCAAACAAAAGAAGAAATCAGAAAAAGGCTGTCGAGACAAGACACCAGGAGATCAGTGTTTTGTGGTTTTAATAGAATTCTTAAAGTGTGTTCTTCTGTGCTGGATGTTTCCCATCACAAAGGCAATTTCTACATTTAGTGAAGATTCAGCATTTTCCACTTTTTGCAAACTAGAGACTTGCAGAGTTGCACCGCTGTGCAGGACATCTTGAAACAATTTACTTTACTTAACTTTACAGCTCAGTAAATCACCAGATTGTTCAACATTTTGGTTCTCACTTTGCCTCTTTTCCTTTTCTATAGATGGGCAGCAAATCTGGGAGATGGAAGCCACAGTGGACAAAGATAAGAGTCAGCCGGTACGTCTTTTACACCACTCTGTGAAATATGCCAAACATTCACAGATCTTGTGGTCTAAAAGGTTGAATTGAAACAAAAAGACCTGACTGGTAACGTACCCCGTCTTGTCTTGCAGAGTATGCTGTTCGTGGAGGTGCCGTCCTACAGAGACACGTCCGCCTGTCATCCCATCAAAGTGAATTTTTACGTCATCAACGGCAAGCGGAAGCGCAGCCAGCCGCAACACTTCACCTTCACGCCGCTGGCATGTAAGACGGCAGCTCAGCCTTTCTCATATCGTGCTATGGTATTCAAATAAAGTGATAGATTGATAGTTTTTAATGTGGAAAAGGATTTAACAATCAATCAGACTTTTCATAAAATGACAATGTGACACATGGTGCATTACATAAAAAGTGCAGGCCGTTTGGAGATTTTCCCTTCATGACATCACAAAGGGCAGTAACCCCTCCCCCAGGTGGGTGACACTCCCACAGCTAGATGTTTGTTCTGCCCTCTGTGTCTGCCTTCTCACTGTAAACAATACAGTATGATGCAAGAAATTCCCATCCAGAGAGGGGGCGTGGTTCAACACAGCTCATTTGCATATTTAAAGGTACAGACACAGAAACAGCCTGTTCTGAGCAGGGCTGAAATAGAGGGGTTTATAGGCATGATCAAATACAGGATCAGAGTGGATTTATGACAGGAAACTTCACACATGTTTTGAGGAGCTCTGAGACTAAAACTAAACTAAACTGGTTGAAAATGAGGAGAATATGTCACCTTTAAATAAAGGAACTGATGAAATGTAAAATAAATAAATGAGGTTACATCAGAAAAAATAAATCAAATGATTTTAAAGCCAAACTAAAAAGATAGATCTTTGACTTTTTTAATAACTCTACACTACTTCCTCATAATATTTACAGCCCTGTTTCATTTCTTTCTGACTCCCTCACAGCTCCATCCATAAAGACGGAGCCTTTAGATGAGTATGAGGACCACATGGGTTTCACCATGCCTCAGATCTTGGGTTTATCCCCTCACTCCTACTACCATAACCCTCGCAGTGCCCTGCATCCAGACAACGGCCTGATCTCCAGCATGGCGTCCTGCCAGCGCCTCAGCTCCAGCCTCCCAAACCAAGACGCTCGTTTCCAGCAGCAGAGCCCGGCCATCGTGTACTCCCGCGGGGGGAAGAGTCTGAGTGGCAGCCCAGGCCACTACCAGCAGCCTGGAGGGATGATACCCGACCCACACCGGTCCGTCCTCGTCCACACGGGCTCTCCTGCCCAGCCTGTCGGTCCCATCAGCGCGGGCCAGCACCCGTCCATCATCCAGTTCTCCCCGACCAATCACCACCTTCTTCGAGCGGGAGACGCTCACTCTCTCCCTCCTGCGGAGCCCGACAGCCAGCAGATCATCTACTGCGATGGCTACTCCCCGCAGGCAGCCGCCGCCCACTCGCCCACATCCCCCCAGGCTCAGGCGGCGGTGCCCAACACTCAGCACTATCCCACCGTGATCCAGCAGCAGCAGACAACGTTCGCTCAGAAGGGGCCGCAGAAAGGCAGAGGTCCGCCGGGCGCCGGGGAGATGGAGGCGGGAGGAGACGGGCAGAGGAGGGTGACGGTGAAGGAGGAGAACTTGGACCAGGCCTACCTAGATGATGGTGAGTGTAAGTTCATGCTTTTATACTCTGCTTGAGTTATTTGCCTGACTGTGTCTTGTAGGATTTCACAATGTTAAAAAAACCTGGAATGTGTGATGACACAGAAATAATCACTCTCCATAATCCTCTTCCTAACACTGAGTATTGAAGAGGACATTTTAGCTATAGAGAACAAACCATATGACGTATTTTACTCTATACATACAGTTCTTATGACTTTCTGCTGTTTGGCATGTTTTACACGAGGGATGCCCCTCACACATGAGTGACTGAGAAAAACAATGATTGAGCGGTTTACAGACAGATTGCACAGTTGAGTTAGATTCTACAATGGAGAAAATAAAAAGAACTCAAACCTTTAAGCCTTATGTAGTTTCCCTTTAACCACCCTACCAAACTGTTCCACCTATTGTCTTTTCCACACACACACACACACACACACACACACACACACACACACACACACACACACGTCTGCCTCTGCTCTCAACACAACACTCACAATAAAACATCCCCATGATCAGAGTCGGCACATGAAACCTGAACCTGAAAAACACTGTATGAATTGCAATGCATAAGACAATGTGTTTATAGCAGATGTTTACATCCAGATGCGGATGAAATTAGGTTTTTTTTTGGCGTGCAGCCTAAAGGGTCTTTAAGAGGTGACAGACGACAAGTGATGGATATGGGCGACTGCTTTCTTAGAAATCGATGTATGATAAGACTCGCCGGCAGAGGTATGTCTTTGCCTCAGAACAATTCAAGGATATTTACAATATCTCCACAATCTCCTTTAAACACACACTCACACACACACCGGTTTGATCTATGTGCAAAGCCAACCGAACACGCTCACACTGTTATAACAATCCTCTGCAGGAGGTGCAGTCATGTTCCACTAAAGGTGGAAATAACAGGGATTATGACTCATGTGTTTATACTTGTGCTTGTCAACCCCATTAGCCTCTGACTGAATTAATGTCGGGGCCACATCCAGCAGCAGGCAGGAGACTCAACCTGCTCCTTACTGTGGAGTTAAAGGTTCTTCAAACTATATGACGCTTTACAATATAACCACTTTATTATTTAGTTTAGGTCAGCTGGGTGAGCCAGGCAAACTCACTCTACAAGGCAGTGAGGTTGTTTTTATGTTAAGCGTGGGCTCGTCCTATACCCAATTTCTAAACTTCGATACCATTCTTGTGAATATGAAATGATATTGATCGGTGTTTAGATCCCACATCAACCAAAAAACATGTCCTGGACTCTCAATGTCTTCTTCCAAATTGACAAGAAATGCGGCCAAATTCATGAACCTTTGCTATTTGTGCAGTGAACACGTCGTTGTCTCTCAGCTTTCGGTTGAAAATATGACTTTTTAGTTATTTTAAAGCTTAGGTATATCTTCACAATCATGAACATGACAGGGGATGTGCGGTTTTAAAACACAGAGTGTCAAAAGGTAAAGGAGTATTAAACATTGAGACCACCTGAGTTCAGTGCTGGTCACTGGGGTTCGTCTGGCCCGGCACACCTCAGGAAACAAGCCCTCTCTCTCTCCCGCTTTAAAGGCAGAGAGGGAGGGAGAAAAAAAGTGTCACTCTCCTGAACCGCCCGGACATGTTGACACTGTTATGAAGTGAAAAACAACTTCCATGGCAACCATTGTCAAACAGTGGAACGGGCTGCCTGGGAGAGCTGGGGAAAGCCTCTTTGTTTGTTATAGTTGGCTGCTGCTTCTCCTTGGCCTTATGCCCCTCGATTCTGCGGGGGAACCCACCAGAGGATTATCTTTTTTTCCGACCGCGGGATTCTGCCAATCTGGCACAAGAAATTCCTATTTGCAGCTGCTCTCCTCCAGAAAACCGAGCCTGATCTCTGTAAGATAGCATGGGGAGGGTGGAGGGCAGTTCGCAGGAAAAGGGAAGGGGCTGTCCGTGTTTGAGTGGAAAAAGTGAAGCGAAGAAAAAAAAAGAAAAAAAAAAAAGGCCAGCAATGGAATTTGTGTTTTTTGGATGAGATGTACAGGGTTTCCCTCCGCAGTAAACAGCAACAGGGCTGTGAGCTGTGAATTTACAAGGAACCTGAGGCGCAGTGAAAACTGAGCCGCCCTGTTTGATCCTCTCATCATACTAAAGTGACGGCCAATCAGCTCCCCTGAGAGGCCTCTGCATCTTTGTTCAGATTTTTTTATTTATTTTAATAGCGCATCACCCTCCTCTGTAAGTCTCATAAAAGTAAATGGCAGGATTAGCGAGTTATTTCCTTCTTTTGCCGTCTTTGATCCCAAGAACAGCAGGTGATTTTATTCATTTTTGGCTGCGGCACTAACTCGGTCAGGGACTTGGGTTGGGAGTTGGAGAGTATAGCCGGTTCAAGTCCGGACCAAAACATGGAAGTTGGTCTGGTTGCTGAAGAGTTGCCAGGTCAACCTCCTCAATACTGCTGAGTTGCCCTTGAGCAAGGCACCGAACAAGTGTGTAGCAGATCCACTCTGACCGGTGCTGTTTGTGCACGAGTGTGAGAGAAGCATGACTCTCAATAACAGAGTGTAAAACCAAAGTATGTACAATAGAAAATTAAAAAACAACAAAATATTTAAAAGCAAAATGACACTACACAATACTATATGATAGAATAAACCTTACACTGCCTCTACAGTAGAAGCAATGAATAAAATCTATAGAAACAAATACAAATCTACATGTAAGCAAAGATGCACACACATGAAAACCATAAAGACATATTGCACAACATTTGCATAAAAATGCTCATTTATCACTCTTAATAAACCTGCCTACATGCAAAACAAATTGGGATTCCCCAACCTTCAAAAAGTGAGAAGATAAACATCAAAAATCCCCCGAGTTCGCCTGCAAGGGTGTTAAAGCGTGATCATGACCACCAAACAATTCTTTGGACTATAACCAAAGAGCGATTGTCAACATTACTCATCGAGATCGGTTTTAGTCACTTAAAAAAAGACGAAAAAAAAAAAACGGGTGAAGCCACATCCTGGTATCGTCACAATGCTGTGGTCGATAACTGTCATCTCTGAACCGCCTGAATTGTCTCAACTATAGTGAAGAGTGTTAAATGAAAGTGAGGCAGGTATTTCATCTTTGTAGCAGAACTTGTCTCCTGATCTCTCACACACAGAGAGGAGTTTTTATACTCAACCCTCGCACAAGTTCCCATGCATCCTGTTTGGGGCCCCAACAGAGTCTGCATGAAGAATGATCTGTGTTATTTGTTTTTGTATATTACATCATGCAACTGAGAAATGTCACTTGTAGGAACCTGCTTTCCCCCTTTGCAACACAAAGGTCAGGGGGGAATTTGGCATAGCTAACTGAGTTGTGTGCTGCATACTTTGCAAAAAAAAACACTAAGAGAGCGAGTGGCAGAGCCTACAAGGCAGCGAGTGACAGATTTAGTGGGTGTGGAATAAAGCCCAGAGGCAGTGGAGCAGGTGAAATTGTTCCAGCAGGTAGAGAGCATGCAGGGCAGGAGAGATAAAGCACACAGCAACAGCCCCGTGAACACGCATTAGTCTCAGCTCACTTCAGTCCCATTTAGAAAGGCTTGATCAAATACACAGCTAATGTGTATCTAGACGGTGCTACAACCAGTGTGATGATGAACACATGACGACGACTCCTTCAGGACGCTTAAAGAGATACTTCACCCGTTGAAACATGAATCTGTACTGACATTGGGGTCATATATGTAGAAATGTGAAATACATTTTGAAGTTGGTGCCTTCTTGGCCGAGAAAAGGCAGAAAGTGTCTTTTTGGCTCATGTGGATGAAAATCCCAGAATGCACAGCACTGCACTGCACTGCACTGGAAGCTCCTTTTCAGACTCAGAAATACAAAGATTTCCCATCTCAGGGGAAAATGAGGGCGGGATGCACGACCATTCAAAAATACTACCAGGTTTCTAATGATACAAAGATTAATGCAAATGGGTGAAGTATCCCTTTAAACTGTTTAATTCAGAGTTTAAAACGCCTTTATTTCAGATTTTAAGAATAGATATCTTGACCTACACTCCCTGTCCATTTGTACAGGGATTTTAGGTACAGCACAATATGATATGATATTCAAGATATCCAACACATATTGGTGCTAAATATTTTTTAAACCATCTCGAAAACTAATCTGAAATAACGACTTCCTTAAAGGAGCTAAGAGGAGCTCCCTGCATGTTGCCCTCCTCCTACAATTTAAATCAATGATTCCTTTAATATACATTCTGGTGTGAGAGATGTTTTACACTGTTAGGCCCTGACACACGGTGGTTAGCGTTGTGGTCAGCCTCCACTCACTCTGCTTTCTCTTTTCTTCTTTGGTTTTTCAGCTTGGTGCTTTCATTACACTCAGCACTCTCTGGAATCACCCCAGTCATATAAAACCCATGAACACACTGTACAGCCTTCTGCACACAAACACAAACACTATATTAACATGCAAATGATTGCAGACGCACAAACAAACACACACACACACAGTCCAGCTCGCAGCAGGCTTAGTGCGCAGACTGAGTCAGCTACTGTACACTCTCTCTCTCTCTTTCTCTCTCTTCCAAACGTTGGTCGGTAAACAGTCCTTCTTATTGGTGCAGAACTCCGGAGCCAGACACTCACCTATTGAACAGACTAGCCTGAGTGTTCCCCGTATACCCAGACTCAAATAGCTGGCCCGTGCCAACCCTTCATTAGTTTCAGTAAAGCCCCTCTCTGTATGTGTGCCCCGCTGTGGTGCTCCTCTGAGCTCGATTTTATATACGCAGGAAAAAAAAACCCACCGTGGCAGCGCTGAGGAGATGAAAGTTTCTCCTAAGGCATTTAGGTGTCAGAGGGGATTCCTCTGCAGACTAAAATAAACAGGGACGCTGACGTTGTGACGACAGCAGAGCGCCCCCAGTTTGGCGGCTCCTGCAGGTTTTTGTGACTCTCTTCAGATTCTGCTCTGGCTGTAAAAATGTGCTCAGTGTTGAGCTGCTGTTCTGTGTGGGTTGATTCTCCCTCACATCTGCAAACGATCAGAGAGAGAGAGAGAGAGAGAGAGAGAGAGAGAGAAAGATGAGTCTGTTACATGGAGAGAATCTCTTTTGATTGCTTGATTTCGATGATGCAACACTTTCTGACAGTTTTACTTCATCATTTGAAATCATGTTTTTTTTTATCAGTTGATTCTTTGTTTTTAACTTCAACTCTTGACTGCTAGTAACCGTTACTGTTTTAACTGATTTAAAGATAAAAATATAAAGATAAACTTTATTGAGCCCCCATGTGAGACATTTTTTTGTCACAACAAGAAAGAGAAAAAAACAAGAAGTTAAAAATCAAACATATGTACATCAGTTAAATAAAGGGAGAAAAAATACAATAATAGAATAATACCAGGTATGTACACTTCCACTTCGTCATTTACTGATGAGCTGTGCTGATATTGTTATGAATGGGAGGTTGTACCTGATTTAATTCCACATGTTTTATAAATTGCATCACTTGACTCTTCTAAAGGTTATAAAAAAAAGAGGAAGCACGAGCTAACAGTGTGGAGTTCCTCTACATCTACAAGAAATCAGTGAAAGCTAACAGAATCGAGCAGCCTGTGACTGTGATATCTTATAGAAGATTTTGAATCCTTCATTTATCCTGACATTTTAAAGCAGAATAGTTTCACTTATAAACAGTTGTAATCAAAATGGTTTCCATTAAATATGAGGGTACAGCCGACCGCCAATGAGCTTAGCCCAGGTGAGCATGAAGGTTGAAAAACGAGAGAAACAGAAACGGCTTTCTTTTCCCAAAAGATTTGGCGGTTATTTCCTCGTGAATCTAGAAAAAGAGCTTATCAAATATAATAAACAAAAAATAAACTTTAAAAATATATCTTAACAAGTTTTTTACTAACTTTTTTAACATGAACACAAGGATGATGCTAGTTCAAGTCCATTTACCGTTTTGGGGCTTTTTGCCTTTATTGCGCAGGACAGTGGATAGAGTAGGAAACAGGGGAGAGAGAGAGAGTGGGAAATGACTCAGGGGGAAAGGAGCCACAGGTCGGACTTGAACCCGGGCCATTCTCTTGAAAAACTTAAGCTTCCATACATGGAACTTGGCCTAACCGCTAGGACATCTGCACCCCAAAAAATATTATTTTTTTACAAGCTAATATCTCTGTGAAGAAATTACTGACTGAACCCCCCAATGTTGAAAAAAACAACCCAATCTAACGGTGTAACCCGTTACCATGGTAACTAAATCACAGACACAGTATTCTCTAATGACTTAGTTACAGGCCAAAAAGCTTTTTTGGCCCATTTTGAAATACTTATATTACTCATCGACCCTTAATGAGTTCCCCGAGGCAAAGTGGAAGCAGTGGCACCAGCCTGTAATGTCTCCAAGTGCCAGTGCACACACACACACACACACACACACACACACACACACGCGCACACAGTAGGCTTCCAGGGTCCAAACATCAGAGCTCAACACAGATGGCGAGGCCTACATGAAGAGCGGTTACAACATATCGGTCATTCCTTCCTGCTGGTTAGAGAGCTACCTGTTCACAGTGTGACTGTGATTTTTAACAGGCGAGCAGATGACCTGCTGGCAGCCTCACACGGTCACAGTTAGCTACACTTTCTCTTCATGTTACACTACAGCAGTGCTTAAAAGACAGAAATTCATACGCATGTTGGTAGAAAAAAAAAACTGTCTGTTTCTATCTATGCAAATTCGCAGGTCCGTCCCTCTCTGCCGTAACATTTATTTATTCAGAGTAAAGACTTTCAGTGAATCCTAGCAGATCATAGTCATCCTTTGTCCAAGGAGTTTGAGTTGCTGCTGTGAGGCTGCAGATTCAGCCGAAGAGACTGAGGAACTCATTTGTCCCTGCTGCTATCAGCTTTATAAACTACTAATTGTGTTGCTTTTTTTTCCATCTTTTTATCTATTGTAATTATTTATTGGCTATTGGACTTTCTACTTCTTAGTGTCCTACTTGTGTTGTTTGCTGGCTGTATGTATGTATGTTTTTTTACTGATGACAAATTGCCTTCTCACAGCACAGACATCATTGAGCCACAACATCATAATTTGTATTTCATTTTTTGATTAATGAAACCGGTTTTCTGCCTTCCTCTTCACATTTTGATTCTATATTTAGAACGACATCACCACAAGCTTCCTTTCACCCCCTCTTCCTCTTTTGTTGATGTGTATACACACACTTGTGATGATCTTAGAAACAAAAAGTTATCACTGGGGAGCTCATGCATAGCTCTACCTCTAGTGGTGATTCAATGTATGTGCAGCGTTTTAATCTGCCTTCTCTTAAAGCCTTGCACAGAGACGTAACTTGAACCATTATTCCTCCAAGGAATCTTCTAAAAAAATAATGAAAACATAGAAGAGTAATGCGCCGGGATTTTTTTTGCAAGTTATTGTGACTTGACTTTGATTCTTCTACCGCTGTCTAACATCTGTCTGTTTCTTTCTTTTACAGTGAATGAGATCATAAGAAAGGATCTGACCGGCGTTCAGGCCAGAGGACAGACATAGAGGAGGATACCCAGAGGGAAATGACAACATACCACCCCCCCTTCCCCCCACCTCCCATTGGACACACACAAAGACGGACACACGCAGTCTCTAACCTTCGAGAAAGGTGACGCACATCCACCAACAATAAGGCCGTCTCTTCCTCATTTACTTTACCCGCAGAGATAGAAGTATCAGCTCCCGGCTGCTGTGTTTGCTTTGGATTGTTTTCCCCCGCAATAAACACTCTCATTTAGCAAACAGGAGAAATCATTTGACCCATAACGTCAAAAACAAAAGACCAGCAGGTTCATGAGAACCGACAGGAGAAAGTGCCTTATTCAATGTTTTTATTTCAATTCCTGGATCAAGTTCTTTTACTTTAAGGGACTCATGCATTTAAAAAAAAAAAAAAAAACATCCACCCCCAATAAAAATATTAGCTTTACTCTTCAGGCAATAAAGTCACATTTACTACCAAGTGGATCAAAGTAGCATGCAGCAGCTTCAAATGATTTCATGTCTAATTATAGGAGTTTTGCAAGTCAGCAGCTAAATGGAATAAAAATCCCAAATAGAAAAAGTGAGACTTGTGGTTTAAAGTTTGTCACCAGTTTGTCATTTCGTTCTCGCTCCATGTGTTTGTGTTTTTAACGTGTGTGCTAAGCTAACACGCCGATCATCTCATTTGAAAGTGCAGTTTTTTTCTAAGCGAAGCGAAGCGCACACTGCCTTAACAGTAAACAGAGGAACTTTTGTGACGCCCCCTAATATGCACTGTTTTTTTTTTTGTTTTTTTTTTTAAAACAGGGGGGGTCCATGTTATCACGTTTTATATCTCAATCATGTGAATAATGTACTGTTTTTTTGTATTTGTGAAATATATATATGCATTGCATTTTATTCAGCTAATAGTGCCAAAGATACTTTCCAAGAGAAGATTGAGAAGATTTCTACTCGCTAATTAAATCTGCGATTATTTAAAAATGTATTGAAGGTTTGCTACACTTAAATTTACAGACGGTCTTGTTTTTTAATCCAAGAAAAATCACATGTTATATTAGCGTCGCTACAGATTGTGATCATTGTAATATAGTCTGTATTTTACAGAATATTCCAAAGCATATACTTTGTGTATTTTTCTGTATAGTTGAATTTTGAGTCCATCCATAATGACAATCAGAGTTAACAACGTGTGCAGAAGCTTCATGCACACTTAACTCTTTTCTGTTCTCGTTCTGTTCGCACAGCAGGAACGTAGATGTTTGTGCTCGTACAGAACGCAGCCCACGTTTAAAAAGTATATTTTGTAATATTTTTGATATTTTACTGGCTGGATTGGAGCGCCGTTATTTGACTGTATATAGAACGATGTTGAAAATGAAAAAAGAAAAACGCCTAAAAGCAGTAAAAAAGTAAGACTGAATCTCAATGTTTTATATTTAATAAGGATCCTATTTGACAGAACATCAGAATGGATTCTTATTGAGCCAGTACTGCACAAGTGCATTTGACATTTCTTGAATGTAACCTTTATTAAATATGTTCCCCTTCTCTGTAAATATGTGTTACAACGTTCGTCCGTCCACGTGCATCGATATAAACTCGACTTAATTTGATGTCTGTCAGTCCCTCCTGTTTATAATCTAACCAAAGCTATAGTCATCATCATATCTTTTACCTGTTTTATCACAATCATAAAAACATCTGAAGGGAATTCTGACACATTACTTTGAAGCTTTAAGTCTCTCTTAATAGTTTTTTATTTTTGTTCATGCATTTTCTTATTATTTGATAATATCAAAGACATCTTTTGCAAAGAAAAAGGGATTCTTATTTTATTCTCTGTGTTGATAGCTGTCATGTATTGTTTTATTTTGAAAGTCTACTTCACTCTGTGCCTCCCTAAGAAGTCTCTGTCTCTGCTATCTTTTATAATTAAAGTAGCAATAAATAATACCCATATTCATCATGTCTGTGTCCTTGTTTTATGTATCGTTCCTTTGCAGTCGTTCTTGTGAATGAATGAATGAGGGCGGCAGTAGCTCGGTCTGTAGAGACTAAGGTTGGGAACTGGTGGGTTGCTCGTTCAAGTCCTGGTGCAGATCAAGGCTGGAATTGTTCCCGGCAGCTGGAGAGGTGCCAGTTCACTTCCTGAGCACTGCAGAGGCTTAAGCAAGGCACTGAAAGATTGGATGGCAGACAATTGCTTACAACTAAACTGTGATAAAACAGAGGTCATTATATCTGCCCCTGGGGCTTTTGTCAAGCCTGTCCTGCACAATCCAGGCATTTATTTTGGTCAGTCTCTGTGACTTGACCATCATATTAATAGTCTAGTTTGCTCTTGTTTTTATCAGCTGAGAAACAGTGCCAAACTTAAGCCCATTGTTACCACAGCTCAGATGGAGATGATTATTGGACGCCTTCATTTTTTCCAGTTAGGATTACTGTAAATCACTTTTTACCTTTCTTAACAAAACATCTCTTCACTGTTTACAATGAGTAGAAAATGCTGCAGCCAGACTATCAACCAGGTCCTCCAAAAGGCCACATATCACTCCAATTCAGTTTTCTTGAAACTGGTTTCCCATCAATTGTAGAATACAATTCCAGATTCTTGTTATCACTTTTAAAGCCCTGCATGGACCAGCACCGGCCTACGTCACAGAACTGTTACGGCCTTACCCCCCCCCAGCAGATCCCTTAGGGCTTCTGATCAGGGTCTGCTGGTAGTCCCACACACCAGACTGAAGACCAAGTTCAACTTTTCAGGTTGTAGCGCTGACACACTCTAAGATTTGTGGGAACTGTTGACTCTTTTAAAAAAGCATCTTAAGACCTATTTGTTTAGATTTGCTTTTGATGAATCTGTACTGATTTTTTCTGTTTGTTCTCATCCTTTCATAAAGCTCTTTGTGACTCTCTGTTCTTGAAAAGTGCTATATAAATAAAGTTATTATTATTATATTGTATATTTTAATTCAGGAATTAAACAGTGTGTGTATAAGCTCAGTTCAGAGCTGTCTCTTAAGTTTCTCTTCTGTCTATTAGAAGAGGAAAACTAAATTGATTTAGCTTGGGCCAGTATCAGACGGTGACTCATCAAATGCTCCCTCCTGACCTGGAGCAGGAGCAGACGGACTCATCAGAGACCCAGGATGTTTGTATATGTTTTAACACGGCATTAAAATAACCAATAAATTACATTATTGACATAGACACAGTTGTCCATGTGCAGCACACACACACGGTCTCTAACTTCTTCCTCCCTCAGACACAAAATAACAACAAGCAGGGGGCCCTCACATGCCCGGAGGCTGTGGTTGCCATGGAGACGGCTTGTTTGGTTCTCAGTCCAACGACTCTGTGAATGAACCTTGTGTTCAGGAAGTCTCTGGTTATGACATCATCGAGGGTGAAAAAAAAAAAAAATTAAAAAGAAAAAGCAGCACGTGGGCTTCTTTGCATGAGGCGTCTCACAGAGTCCCACTCAGACAGATATGACACGGTGACTCATCCGGCCTTTAGAGCCCCCGATGGTGTCATGAGTCCGGGACCGTGTGTACAGACTAACTGTGTCAACTCAAACAAGAAAACCAAATACATGATGAGCTTGGCATTTCATTCATTATCTCAGAAAAGAAGAGTGAGCTCATAGTGACACGAAGGGCATGAAGCTGATCCGGCCACATTCTGAGAATTGTAAAGAAATATTCCACAAGCTCAGATTTAAAATCCTGAAAGCTGAATCAGGAATGTCTGTATCACACCAACGTTTAATCCTTTCATAGTGGCAGATTTTAACATGGTTTAAAGTTTAAAAAAAATAAACATGAAATGGTGTTGGGGTGAGCGGCAGAGCGGCAGTACAAGAGGCTGTTTGTGTGGAATAAGGATGACATTGTCCCTCTGCAGACTCTTCTAAATGTTCTGAAGGATTTTTTTCAAAGAGACATGAGTCAGTTTCCTGAACCTCAGGTACTGAATGCTAAAGTATGCACTCCCATTGAACTTGTTAGGTGGAGCGCACATGGAACAACTTTGCATCAAAAACAGAATCCAAATAATGGAAATGATTCAGTGATGAACGCTGACATTATAATTATTTATTTTTGTGCCTTTGGCTTTTGGCTCTGCAGGATAGTTGTCTTTTTTTTAGTTTATCCGAGAAGCAAAATATTATTTCCATTGCACATGACCTTCACTACTTTACAGACTTCTTTGATCCACTTTAAGGTATTTGTGTCATGATTTTTGTTTTGCATTTTGTATTTGAGTTTCCCGTTTTATCCCAGTGTTGCTTGTTTCCCTTGTGTGTTAATGTTTCTTGGTTTTAATGTTAATTAAAGTTTTGTCTTCAGTGTCTTCTGTTTTATTTTGTCATTTCTTATCCTCGTGTATCTCTGTGTTTTGTTAGAATCTTGAGTTCTGTGTGTCTTCAGTGTTTCATGTATTTAGTTTGTAGATGTCTTCAGTGTTTCTTGTATTGGATTCCTGCCTCTGTGTTGATTGCCCTCATTGTCTTTACCTGTGTTATTAGTCTCACCTGTGTTTGATTACCCCTGTGTCTATTTAGTCTCTGTGTTTCTTCCCTTCTGTGTCAGTTCATTGTCGTTTGTCCGTGTTAGATGTAGTAATGTCAGATGTGGTGTGTTAGCTGTCAGTCTCCCAGTGATTCCTTGTGGCTTACCTTTATTCCATTTTGACTTTTCAAGATCGTAAGTTTTTGTTGAAATAAATATTTTTATTTTTTCGTTCTGCACTTGGGTCCAGTTCCTGATTTTCCACACCCATGACAATTTGTCCATTGTTTGTCCCGCGACCTGCTGTGACTTTAAGAAAGGTGAGTGCAGAAAGTCTGAGTGTCTTTGTCTGTACTGCTTTTTTTAACCTTTCTTAAAATGTTCATATATGAACAACAGAACCAGGAAGCTTACTTCCTGTGATAGTCCAGACATCAAACAAAGAGATGAGAAACTTAAGTAAAGTCCAATCTTACAGGTTTTACCTTCTCAGTCTGTTTGATAAGAACTAGAAGACCGATAAATACAAGACTCCTAAAATCAACAAACTTGGGTTTTCTAAGAAGCTCAGACAAGAAGTTCTGGAGTGAAAGAAGAAAGTCTAAAAGTGCTAAAATAAGCAAATGCAATAATAAAACACACTTATGTAAAACAGTTACAGAGGATGAAGTTAACAATTCAACACCAGGACACATAACTCAATAAATACCTGATACAAAAAGAGTGAGCAAGAGGGAGAGAGAGAGAAGTGAGGTTGAAATTTTAAAATATATAGCTTAAACTACCTTGATCCTCGACTGGCAGAGCTTTATAAATCAACTTGTAGGAGAAAATAATAGAGAAAACTTTTTGTTTTAAAGAACCTTCATAAACGGTTATTGTGCTTTAGAGCACGACGCAAAAAGGAAACTCCGATGGCAACAGAAACTCAAACCTCAAGGGGTTAATGTTCAGTAAAGACAGAGTTCAAACAACAGTGAAAATATCTAAATACAGCAGTAAGGAGGACGATGAGCCATCAAGATGTTTTAAAAATATAAATATTGATCACAAAGAGAGAACAGCAATAAAAAGTTAGATAATCATGTAACTGGTTTAATGATGGTGATGGAAACACTGAATGTACATGTTGTATGTCTATAATCTGTGTTACAGCGACAACTAGTGTAGAACAGTTAAAACGAACACTGAGCTGTAGTTCTGCTGACGGCCTGCAGAGGGAGATAACAACCCGTGACAGTGATTTCACAGCACAATGATCTCTTCAACAGCTCTCCACTGGAATCAAGAGACTGAGCTGAAGTTCATCACAGAACATAAGAGCTCTCCCTCTGCGGACAAATAGGAATACTTTTAACACCGACAAACTGGAAAAGTCTTTGACATCAGTATCATAAACTGAATCAAATTAAGAACATATCCACAGCTCACAAAAGCTTCTTTGATAAAACAGCTGTACGCTTGTTTAGCTTTTCTAAATGCATTTCAATAACAGCAACAGAAGCTGTAATTATATTCTGATAGATTTGGAACATAAGCATCCAGTAAAAGGCAGCACCATTATGTGCAACTGAAAATAAATAGGCCTACTTAACAAATTGCTGAGCAGAGGCTCCATTTCTTTTGGAGCATAAGGTAATATAAAGCAGGAGATTAACAGTCTGCTCAAACAGTGCCGAGTCTCTTCAGGTCTACAATTTGTGTTCACTTTTGGAAATGTGCATCCAGCCTGAGAAAAGTTGGCCAAGCTTTGTGTTTAAATTAGGCATTTTGAAAATGTAATGACTGTGACCTGAAAGAACCATCCACCCAATGTGCAACCTCTAACCTCTAGATCTTCAGAAAAAGGACAGGGTTAGGATTACCGTCCATAAAAAGTTCAAATCCCTGTGTACCTCAATATCCAAATCTGGGTCAAAAGTTGTTTGGGTCTGTCTCAGTAGACAGCAAGACAAATACTGTCACTTTAAAAAAAAGATGGCGATGGCTAAAATGACAAAATCAAGGCTTCATAGTGGCTACTTCCTCTTTAATAAAAAGTATGTAACCAGTGAAATTCTATATGATATGGAATACTTTAAAGTTGTTGCTATGATAGATGGTCATAAACTTTGAGCAGAAAAAAAACAGAAGGGGCTGATCGGAGAAGCTCACTTTGGGCAGAGTGAATCATTTGGCTGTTTGTGTTCAACCACGCAACTAATCCCAAACTTTTCAGGAGTTATCTGCATGTGTGAAAGCACTATTCAAGTTCTGTTAGTTAAAAAGCAGCGAGGTATTACTGTGACGTTTCTGTAAAATAATAACCGACTTGATTTGACATTCAGCTTTACAACAATTCCTCCCCAGCTCGACCGACTACGAGCCAGAAAAGCAGCTCCAAATCTTACATATTAGTATTCTGATCGCCTATTTCTCTGTCCAAACCCTGAAAATGTTTATTTATTATCTTTTATAACCAGATGGTGAAAAAAGGCACTTCTTGCTGTGAAGTGATGCGCTGACATTCGCTCTGAAGTGGACCTGTTGCTCATTAAATCAGAGGGAACAACAGACTGCAGAGGTAAATACAGCTGCCGCCCACCAACACACACACACACACACACACAACATGCCTTTAGTTTCCATCCTGGTCAGAGTTCCTGTGTTTATATAATATTTCCTTCTCACTTGCGGTCCACTCCTAACAGAGGAATAATGTATTTATTTATAGAAAATCTCTGGAGTTATAAAAGTCTTGCATTGTTTATCTGCATTTCTGTTCCCTCAGATTGATTTTTACTATAATAACAAAAACCCCTTTAGATTCAGGCTGAATGAGTTCTTCTATAGGAGGTTTTCTTTGAACGTATGGTACAGCTTTCCTCTGTACATGCCCCTCCCCCCCCCCCCCCCCCCCCCCACACACACACTGTTAGTTAATAATTTCCTGTGTTTCGCACAATGACTCGCAGCAGTGAACAGTGGGTGTGAACTGGTTCCATTTAATCAAAGGTGGGCGTGTGTGTGTGTGGGCGAAGGCAAGGTACTATATTCTGAGTATTGTGCCATATGTATGATGACCGGCTCACCCTTCACATACAATCACATACAGTATCTCATATTGTGCTCTGGTGCGTTGTTGATGGAGGATTAGAAGCAGAGGTATAGATTTCTCTGCCTGTTGTTTGAGTACAAGAGGAAGCCAAGGCAGAGATTCTCGCTGTTCTTACACCTTGGGTTGTCGAGGGTAGTACGTGTGCATGTCCTCGCTTGTCTGACAAAAATGTATAGAAAACTTCAGGACAGCCTGGCCTCTGAAAACATCTCGAGTTGTTCTTCCACATCGGGAGATATGGGCCGTATCCGAATTGCCAAGTACCTACTATCCATGCTGTACACTGTTAGTACCTACTATTCAGTAGGCAGATATTTGTTCCTCTTCCTTCTGATTCATTCAGTATGGAAGTGACGTCATTTACGTTACCTGAACCGGCCGCATTCACCCTTTTTTGTTTTAGTTTATTCAAGAGTAATGTGCAAATACAGTCAGGTAAACAATATCACAATGTAAATCAAGTAAAAGGCAGATTAAATAACATAACAGTACATAATAAAAGTACAAATGAAAGACAGTAAAATGAATCAATAAAGACACATTTAAATTATTTAAATAGAGGGGGAAAGGTTTTATAATAATGCAGATATTTGTTATATTTCTGTTGTTAATTAAAAGTAGTGATTTCAGTCTGGACTTTAACTCTAGATTAAAAATTGATTAAATTAATCCACGCTCGTTTGTTTTGATTTGGAGGCGCACGTGACGATTTACATTTAATTTCGCACAGCATTGTGGGTGTTAAAACACAATTCATTTCCTGAAAGCACGCATCAGATCCATACTGCATGAAAACCAGGAAGTTAGTATGCATACTGAAATGTTCAGTATCCTGAGGTGGACCCAAAAAATGCATACTGAATGACCACGAGAGTTCAGTATACTGAGAAGTACGTACTGCATACTGAACTGTGACAATTTGGAAAGGCCCTGGTAACAACAAGATCCAAGATGGTGGACAAAATCAACGTAGTCCGATGCTATAATGACAGTTCTGCCCTTTACATCAATACGTCGATGCTAAAGTGTAATTGGAAGCATTCACAGTATCAACACAGGAGAGGTAAAGAGAGTATGCAGGCAAGAAGAAAAGAGTATGAAGCAGCTCCATAATGTGCCCCAAGGTCAAACTGGTTGTGCAGCAGACACAGGATATAAAGGGCAACATTCCCATCAGCCATAGACTTTGTTTGCAGGTTGTTAGCATGGCTACTGCTAGCACTGTAGCATGTAGAAGTTCTGATTGGGTCACAGCTACCTTGCACCTTCACCAGCATCCCAGAGGTGCCAGCTTATAGCTGTATAGACTCTCTTTCCGAGGGGCTTAAAGCAAACGCTGATGGTTCCAGTGGTCTGTCCTTTGTTAACTGATGTCACATGCCACTGGAGCTATAAATAGCCACGATGGCACCTATCAACAAAACAGTTTTAAGGGATAAGCCATTCATCAGGAAGAGTTCATTTGGGAAAGTGCATTGTGCAATTTTCCCGTGTCTTTGCAGAAATGCTAAGATCTACCAAGAGTGCAGAAGGTCCTCGAAAAACACAAAGTCATTGAGGTGGAAACGCCTTTTTCTCTGTAACAGGGCGATCATTACGTCGTCATAGTGATTCTGCAGAGCCGTAATATTGGTGCCCGAGTCTCTGTGTTTCAGGATGGCTGTAATTTAAAATAAATGTCTTTCACTGTAGTATATGAAATACTTCCTCCTGACACAGTGGAGTCAATCCCATGCTGCTGTCTGAGAGTATTATCTGCTGTTTGTTTACACCTCTACAAACAGAGTCTGGACCTCATATAGAAGGTGTTGACTCACAGCCGGCTTTTGTATTTTGTGTTACGGTCTTACCACCGTCGTGGAAATGTTGTTTTGGGTCAAATTACCTCTCGCATTACTCGAGCACTCAGCTGCAGGCACGTCTCAGAGGAAAAAGAAAAGTGGCATCAGTGGCTCTATCGCAGAAATTTAACCATTTACAAACTACTCTCTTTTTATCTGCAGGCCAAAAAAAATCAGAAATTCTTCACACTGTTTTTTTTTTTTTTTTTTAATAAGAACTGTCCTCTGTCTTTGTACAAGTTGAAGTGTTTATAGGATATGCCTAGTATTTTATCTCTATTGTAATTTCTTGCTTTATTTAATTAATGTAATTATGTTTGTTTTTGAACCTTTTGCTATTTTTATTAATTATACATTTGTTTTTGAGCTATTATAACAAATACATTTCCACCAATTGGGGATCAATAAAGTATATCTTTATCTTCAACATTGATCCTTATCGCTCTCTGATGCAAACAAACACACAGGCATATGACGCTTGATGAGAGAAAAAAGTGTTGAGGATTTCTGAATTTAGGCAAGCTACAACAAATAAATGTTTTATGATGTGTAGTTTTGTACAGCGATGCCTGTATTCTGATCATCAGCTGATGGATCGGTGCATCTTTACTTCCAAGGAACTTTTTTACTTTTCCGCTGTAATGAGAGTAAGGAGAACAAAGGTTTACATCATCACAGGAATAATTTTGATTGTATCAATCAGCGATTTTACTTTAACTTTGAAATGAATCACCTGCTCTTCAGTTAAAGCACCTGCTTGTTTTAAACCTGAACTCAACCCTGTTACTCTGCTCAGTATCAGCATCTTAGCATTATAAACATTATCATTCTACTCACTCCAACTCAAACTGATTGGCTAACTGAACTGAAGCGGCCACAGTACAAATTGTTTGTGCCACAGCTCGTCTAGAAACATAATGAAGACGAAGTATTTCTGTACATTCTTCAGAGCTGCTTTCCTCCCACGGAGCTCCCTGTGCTGAAGTGAGAAATAAAATGAACTTTAAGTGTTTATGTATAATTTCTGACCTTTCTCTCATTATGAATCCCACTGCCAACAGCTTTTTTTTTTTTTTTTTTTGAAAGTCCATATTGTCTTTAAGAACAGATGGGGAAAAAAAAAGGAGAGAAAAGAATCTGTCTGCCGTGTTGAGAACAGACAGAGAGCCTCCTGTTCCTCCGTCTAACTTAAACGTCGAGTCCAAGAACCTCATTTGCATCTAGCAGAGACCGCGCCTCGGAGAGTCTGAGTGGTTGTGAGTAACCTTGTACGAGATGAAATGACACGTTTTTAATGACGGTCAGAATTTGGAGAGAAATCAAAAAGCTTCGGCCAACTTCCCGTGAGAGAGAAAAGAAAAATGGGTTGAAGTACAAAAACACCGTCTTGATGAGAGCAGAAAGTTAACACACTGGAACATACGACTACTTAGTAAAGAACTTTATTCACCTCAAAGGAAACTGAAGGACCGGATTGATCCAAAATAACAGTACAGTGAAAGAAGAGAGCATGAACTGATGTCTTTATCTCAAACATCTTGATTAAATTGAAGTAGATAAAGAAAAAAAAAAGATCATCTCGAAGTGAAGCTAAACAACAATATTGACTGTAGAGTTGTAGTACTTGATATCGGTTTCGAGACCAATTTCTGAAGGTTTCTGTCTCAGAATTAAGTCAGTTTTGACTTCTGGGATGATCTGCTGGTTTGGTAACCTCAGCATCATTAACAAGAACGGTCTGGGAAATATTGTTAAACTGTGCTGAAGGATGCCGAGAGTTGATCTTGGCCATGTTTTTCAAGTAAGAGCCACACGAAAAGGCAAAGGCCGTCTTGGAAGACCCTCAGCACCCCCTGCATGCAGAGTTTAGACTTCTGCCGACAGGACGGAGGTTCACTTACTATGAACTGTTGGGTTTTTTTGTCCCTTATCTCATTCACGTCCATCATGATGATATCCATGGTAGTTCTGTTTTATATGTATTCATGTCATTGTGCTGTTTTTCATGGATGTATTGCCTGTATGGACCTCTTGCAAACCAAATTGCCCCACGGGGACAATAAAGAGATTCCAAATTTTTACTCTTGTGATTTTTACTCTATGTCAGACAGAGACGTGGCTGACTCTGAATTTAAAACAAGGGCAGGTCAAGACCACCACTAATGGGCTATTTTTTTCCACATCACTGATTGGAAGGAAAACACACCTTTCTGAAAGAAGAAATGACTTCTTTTAGAAACAATCACAATTCAATTGTAGTTTTATTTTTATCTCCCGTTTACGGCTGCAACCTTCCCGGTCTAAGTGAGTGACACGCCCACTGCACACAAGTTGAATGTTTTTTTTCAAGGTTTTATATTTTGACTTTTTATGCCTTCATTGTAGAGACAGAACAGCAGAGAGAGAGAGAGGAATGACATGCGGGAAAGGAGCCACAGGTAGGATACGAACCCGGAGGACCTTGACCTTGGCGCATGAGTGTTTCCTACAATCTGATTTTTAACTCGGCTGTAGATATCTAAGGATGTCCAACGTTATGTAAATTTCCCTGTTGTGGGATAAATAAAGGATAATCTTATCTTATTATTCACTCATGATTGTAACAGGAGTGATAAATGATCATCTTTCTCCTGTTTCACATACTTCTGAATTTTCCATGAGAAAGCATTAATTTCAACACTGTGTTCCAAAATAAACGTTTGAGTGTAATTATTAACCCGCCCGACTTGAAAAAACTTCTTTTTTTATGTTCATAATGCGTGCTCATAATAATAAGCATAATCAGAGAAACACATCAAAGACACAAAGCAGGTCAATTAAATTGTACACAGCAGAGCGGGGGGAGGAGGTTGTGCACAGACTGCAGTGAGAGGAGAGCTGTTATTTGGCTCCGCTATAATCAAAGAGGTAGTGATCATCAGACCGACCTGCTGAGTTATCTGCTGACATCGTCTTCACACTCACAACAGACGTCGAGTTGTCGCACTAGAAGAAGACTCGGGCACTACAGAGACAGACGGAGAGGAAAAAAAAGATTACATTTTTCTGTTTTGTCCTCGGGCAATTATTTTTTACATTATTATAGTTATCATAATCTGTTTCTGTGGAGTCTAATCTCCAAAACAAAGAAGCCCCAAATACTGCAGTAAAAAGCGAGGAGAGCAGGCCGCAGCTTTAACTGACTTAATGAGCCCTGACTAATTGGGTATTCAGTGAATCTAAGCTCTTTGACAAACAGGTCATATCTAAAGTTCAGCATAGAGGGAATGCTTAATCCTCACCATTGACCTCTGCATAATTAGAAACCAAATCTGCAGTCAAAAGAAGCCACATTAAATCTGTGACATAACACCTACATGATGTGGTAGCAATGATAGATACTAAAAACTCCAACACTGCTCATTACATTGATTTTTATTTGGATAAGATGACATCACAGAATATATAGCCTACTGTCAGTTTTTTCTACATCTAGTGTTTCTCTGTAGATGAAAGTAAATCTGGAGGGATTGTCCTTGTCCTGTGTGTCGCCTCTCAGTCCTGCAGACATATTTCCTTCCTCCTGCACAACTTTCAGGTAAAACACATCAGGATGGTTTATTCTGTTTCCAAAAGGAGCAAGTAGCAAAATGTGATGCTGATTAGGCCTCTCAAAGTTCAAGGTGTTTAAGTCCTAATTTGCTAAGAGTTTTGTGAATGCATTTCCAACACAAACTCAGGTTAGGATAGTCTCAGAATACATGGAAATTATTTATCACATTTTGAAATTTTCCTGGTATTGCGTCTTAAAGCTGTGCATTTTTCCAGCTGTTTTCTCTCCGATCAAATCAAAGAAGTCAGCCAAAACCATTGATGCAAATCCAAAATGTTATTTTCATCCCAATCCTCATTTACAGCCCCTTTCCTGCTTCTTTTTCCACTAATCTTTCATGTACAATGTGTTGATTTTTGCATAAAGGGAGGCACTGTATAGTTTTTTGGCCTCTAGACGTTAAGAGTCTGGATCCAGGAGACTAATTCTACAAAATGAACTTCTCTGTTTTGTTCTTGGACAAAGTAAAAAAGCAACACGTTTCCCTTTTGTGAAAACTACAGCACACTTGTATCACATGCCTTTATATATCACATACACTCCAACTCATCTTCCAACTCTGTCACGTAGCAACAATGTGGTGTCCATAGAAACAGAATTAAAACTTCAGACACAGGATATTTATGTGTTATCGTCTGCGGTGAGGATTCTTAAAATAGGAGAGGATAATTTTGTGTTTGAGTTCGCTCCATACGAGGAAGCTGCATATGACGCTGATACTTTCAAAAACCAAAGAGGATTCTGACCTGAGGTGGTTTCTTCTTCACACGTGTGCGTCAGTTTCACATTGCCTGTACCAGAGGAAAGTTCAGTCCTGACCTTTAAAAAAAAAAACAGCAGCTGACTAAAACATCTCACAACAACGTCCGGCTTGTTCAGTAGCTCAGTAAGCTCGTCGTTTTAACACATTATCTTCTTCAACGGATTTTATTACTTTATTTTATTTTTGGGTGTATATCGTCATGTGCTACATGGAGTAGACAACAGACAGCTTCTGTTTGGAGCACCCAGATTGAGTTTCTACATATAAGATACATGTATCTCTGCAGAGAGGGCTTTTACAAATATGTACTTGACCAATAACAAAAGATCTTTTATATGAAAAAGACGATATCCACCAATCCAATATCTATATCTACCCATTTTGGGCCACGGGGCTAGATCTGATCCCAGCTGTCATTTCAAATATAGCAATTTAGAGTCAACAATTAACCTAACGAGCATGTCATTGGACTGTGGGAGGAAGCTGGAGTATACCTGGAGGGAACCCATACATCAGAATCAGAATCAGGATTGGGTTTTAATGCCACAGACATTTACATGTACAAGGCGATAAAACCCCACATGCACGGGGAGACCAGGCAAACTCCACACAGAGAGGCCCTGTGCTCTACTCCTAAACCCTCTTCAAACCAGTGTTTTGTTGTGTCTACCATACATTTCCACTGTAGACACCATTCTCTCTCAGGATTAGTAGGTGAAAATGGAATCCCTGCCCCCCCCCCCCACACCCCTACAGTGAATTGGTGAAAGGGAAGTGTCAATGTCACTCTGAAGATGAAAATCAGAGTAATGATGTCTGATAACAGGCAAGAGGAGAGCTGCAGAATCAGGTGAACGTTTTCTGTAGGTTCATCAGTGCAAACATCTTTCTTCATTGTTTTTAGTGTTATAAAATATGGACTCAAGTGTTTTTTAAAGACTTAGATCTGGATTACAAGTTCGATCAAAAATGAATTTTCATAAAAACACACGCTGCCTCACTCCGCACCTGGCTGTTCATTCCTTTACACAGTCAATTAATCTGCAAAGCCTGAATAGATGAATCTCCTTAACCCCCTGGTCTCCTGCTCTGATCCCCAGGATTCAGTGTACAGATGTTCTTTTATCCCTCTAGCTCATAATTATATCCTCCTGGCATAATTGAAAAAAAGCTGGAATGAAGGTCAGGAGGGCTGAGACAGGAGCCCTGACAACCACTGCTCTCATGCGGCCCCGGAGTGAGAATTTGATGCAAATGAAGAGTAATATCGGAATAATTACATCAAGGCAGCGTCCATTGATTCATTATTAATCCATGGTATTCTGAAAAAAACCTTCCTCCAGACAGCTCAGCATGCTGGTACTGTAGGCACCGGTAGAGACGGAGGAGAATGTCAAGTGCACTTTGTGCTGCTTTCTTTTTTCTGGAATAATCTTTGAACTGCTCGATCTTCAAAAAGAACTTCTCAGGTGTTTTCATGAAATTGCTCTTTATCGCTATTTTGGTCACTGGCCTCTGCACCAGTGTGGCCTCTCGTGTCATTTTCAAGAGGATGTACTGTACTAGTTCCTCATTTTCACAACTCCCCCAAACTGCCGGATGACAGCGTTTCTTCAGGGATGAGTCCTGCTGCTCCCTGTGAAGCCAAAGGTCATCAGCTGCTCACCAACAGATTTAAAAGCCGCGGCACAGATGGAACACAAACTCTGTTGCGTGTAGCAGTTTTTCTCTTTAAACAAAAGGCAGAGATTTATCTTGCAAGTGCAAATATGCACTACGGCATGGAAAAACAAAAGGTAACATATTTAAACAAGGTGGCTAATTAAAGAAATAAAAACAGTTGAAACAGAATATATATCTATATATATATAGATATATAGATATATAGATTGGAAATAAACACAGCTTGCGCCCTAATGAAAGTATAAGCGTGAAGACATCCCTTATTGCCATACTAATGTGTTACATGACCTACTTTATGACCCTTAGTTGCCACAGCAAACAAAACAGTGATGCAACCTTTGACAGGTGACCCAGGCTCCAGCGTAGTCTCTACCTGGCTAACTCCATTTTTGCAAGCTAGACACGTAGAGACAACGTTCATACTACCTACCCCACTGCATGTCCCCATTTGGCCCCCACACGTCAACCCTGTAGACCAATGGGCAGCCAGAGCCAGGACATCACCTGAGTGGTCAAGTTGGAACCTCCCTTTGACTGTGTTTCGTCCGATAAGTCCGACAACATCTCGGGACGGCCTAACTGTGAGCTCAAGCGTCCCAGAGCCACAGCAGTATTCTCCAAACTTAACCTTTAATTCAAAACATGGTACGCAGGTCTTAGCATGTAAAATGACATCTAACTTGTTCCATTTAAAGGTAGACAAATACCCTAAATTGTCTAGCATGATGCAGAAATGATTGCATTGAAGTTAATGGAGAACATTTCAGAGCATCAATGAGGGACTTCCATTTAAATGTCGTTCTATTGTTCATCTCTTGACACAAGTCATGTAAAGTCTTCTGCTGTCTTCTAACAGTCAAACGTATCGCTCACTCTGGATCCTTGTAAACAAAACGTGTTCAGCAGCGTGCTTTTCCTAAGATAAGTCAACATGGTTAAAAAGGTTTGTCTGAGTTTCTATGTTGTGCATTATAGTGAGGAGCTTAGGGCTTCATTTGAAATAAGGATTAAAACAGGATTACAGTTTTTCTTTGTTAATAATGTTGGTTTAAACACTGGACTCAGATCTGAACTCCCAGCTGTATTATCAGACTGCTAATGGTATTGTGTGCTTTAACAGCTATTTGAATGCGTAGATTGGCTTGTTTGGGGAATTAGGGCTGAAGTCGAACAGGTCAAAGCGAACATACAGTCTCTGGAGAGGAAGGAACAAAAGGAGGGTTTTTTTCTTGTCCATGGCAACGAAGACTAATAACACAGTGATGAACACAGAAATCATCCCTCTGCAGCTGCATGCAGACGCCGTACGCTAGGCTAAGACCTTTAGCTATTTTTGGTTGCAAGTCTTGTGAACTCCTGACATGGGCGTGTGATACTGAAGTGGCAGAAATGTGGCTATATTACCATGCCAACTGTGTTTTCTCCTGTGTTCTCTGTGAGGCACTGATATAACTGCCATTTTCTCCAACATGGTGTCATGATGTACACTGATCCCCCGGTGTCTTGTAAGTCGAAGAGTTCACAAACTTTGTTGCATGGCTGTTAATTTAAATAGTGTATTATGTTCGTAATAGTATGAGCATGAAACACAGACAGAGGGATTATACTCGAATTAAAATCTCGCTTCATTAAACTCTG